TTAGGAAAGATCGCGCACGGCCCATTTGTTAAGGTAATGCCACGGCATTCGCCCGGTATTGATCGGAGAAACCTTGGAAAACTCCCGATTAGAGCAGCCGCCCGTTAGACAGAGACTGAATTTGACCTAGCTACTTAGCTAGGGTCGAATATCCTGTAACCGGTGCGACTCGAACCAAGGACCTCCCGCCCTGAGGGACTGCAGTGACACGAGTCACCCTGAGCCACCTCTCTCTCGGTATAGGTACATTGGCGAGGTGTCGATAGTGGGGAGTGTGATGATGCTAGGACCGGCGATGGCGATGTTGGATTGATATCCGTAGGGGTAGAAGTGTTGCTGACGGTGGGAGCAACTGTGCTACTAGTGAGCACTGGTGACGGCGGTGGCGACTGTGGCGCTGGGAAATGTAACGTTGCTGCTAGTTTCTTCCCAGGTGGTTCCCCTGACGAGTTGACATGATGGTCGAGTGACAGCACTGGGAATATTTTGTTGGCTGCGGGCGTCGACACAGTGAGAGTGTCCAACGACGCATGTGACATGACGGGGCTGCGGTGCTTCGACAAATAAAGCAGCCAGAGGCAGAAGCGGTAACAGAGTCGTATGCGCGGGCGGGACACACATCTTCTGATAGGACGCCACCTCCTTTAGAAACAAGGCCACACGATGGCCACCGGAAGAACACGAACAGAAGGAAAACTAATCGTTGAAATATATGGAGGAAGAACTTGTACCTAATAAACCTGCAGCGGAATAGCCGTTAACTTTCCGATAGAACCTTAAAAAAATTCTCACCAGGTGATGAACGTTCTCGGTACACAACTTCGATGTGTGGTAGTGTAAAGGAAGGGACAGAACAATGAAAAGTCAGTAAGAGTTATTATGCTTCCAATATGAACATCTACTGTTTTGACATTACACTCATTAACTTTCCAGCGAACTTGTCTATCATTTACGTTCGATACAACTTAATTATACTGTCGGTCGAATTTTGTTAGCAACATCTTGTGAAACGTTCCAGGTTCTTCAATATAAATTATTGATATTAAATAAGCTGGAAAGTTTAACATGGAATATAATTATTCTTCCAATAATTATAACAGCGTCCATTTTAGATTTGGAGGTCCTCCAACTAACATTTCAAAAATATTCCTTCATTCAACATACTCCTGTGCAGTGCGCAAGCGTAGAATATTTTAACTTCAAATGCCAATATTCTTTCACACGGGAGTCATATGGCTGATTTGGAAGTCAATTGTATTTTTGTGATTAATTGTTATTATAATTGACTTGTTTTTAAAGGTGCAATATTGTGGTGTTTAATGTTTTCTTTGGGCAATTAACATCGGGAAATAACTGTCGTAGACGCAATTGGAAATTTAAAAAAAAGTCAGTTCGTTGTTCCCTCCTTCATTTTCCCATTACGTCGTACTCAATACAATTAATTTATTAAAGAGAAAGACAAGTCGCCTTGGTTTATATTTTTCATATAGACGTACAAGAAATTCGCAAGACTAAGTAAGAACTAAAAAAGTAGAACAGTTTTTGATTTTTCACTATAACTAAAAATTGAAACCACCCAAAAAAGGATTGATAAAGGATTCGAGATGTGAAGGTATAGAATATCCCATCATAACAAATTTCCAGGAGCTATCTGCTATCCACGATCAGGTGTAGAGGAAACCAGCACCTTTATGATACTGCATAAAAACAATGGCTGTTGAAAGGTCAGTGAGAGTATCTCATAAAACCGGTTTTCACCGCCAAATTCATCCGGCTCTCAAGAACATCCGGGTCATTTGAGCCCCTCTGCAAACCTTTAACGTCCTCCTCGATCCTCGCAAAGCTTAAGATATTGGAATTTCATTACAATAACAGCAATAACTTCACATCTCCTCACGGAAACGAGGGGATACTGGTTTGAGATTTATGAAAATTACTTAGAATCTGCGATTCCTATTAGGGAAAATAACCTTAAGCAAAAGTGGCAAAGCAAATTATTCTTTCTTAATTCCTTGAAATGTTTTCTAAATCTTTCCGATAGTATCTCTGATGTCGAGCGAAAAGAGGCACATTTCATACAAATTATACACTTTTTTGTTGAGTGAAGAAATATGTTTAAAATTCGCTTATATTGCACTAGAAAAATCGTAATTATAATTCACAAAATAGTCGTTATATAGGGATAAAAATAATATCGTGGACTGTAAAATAAACCGTCTCCGTTCGAGATAAAAGTGTTCCGCAAAAATGGTAATTTTAGATAGTGTCGCTCCTCTGGTGTATCGCTGATACAAACGACATCAGGAACAGTGCGAATATTCCACACTCTTTAAGCCATTGTTTTAAAAGTACCAACATACTTGGACCCAAATTCTAACGTTTCTGACAATCCATGCTACGAAGTACAGGTACTATCCAAAAATATTTTGTAAATTACAGGATGATAAACGACTAGTTTCTTGACCCGTGCATGTCAACACCCGTGTATGTCCCAACGTGATGTGTGACGCGGGTTGCATGTAACCAGTCTCTTTTCTCTACATCGTAGCACGCAAAAGCATCGTTCCCTTTTGTCTTAAATTGATGTAGAACCGAGAGTATGAGTCCTAAACCATCAGTAACACACTTACGGGATTTCATGGTGACGGTTTCTCATAAATCGTGAAGATTTGTCGTCTTTCCATAAACTACAGTATTTTATCTAGTGGCCTCTCGAAACCTTTCAGGCACGAACGTGCGTATATCTCCTCGACAGCTGCACCAAATCTTAAACCACCTTCGTTACAGCACTAATAGGCCTCTATCCTCACGCGTGTATGAAGTTACAGCTGAAAATAACCTTATATACGGATTTCGCGGTCGGAAATTCGAGATGACATTTTTGAAGTGATTCTTCCCTCCCCCTCCATTCTACGGTACAGATAGGAAACATTAAAAGAGGGAATGACCATTCTAGGTCAGAGTTATCAGTATTAATGTATTTGTGTTGCGCGCTTTGAGTTTTATTGTTTTTTCTAATGTGTCTCAAAGTACATTTTTTGTACATTGTAATACTTTTCGGAAATCTATCATTGGGAGGTAAACCCTAAGTCGACCAAATACATCTACCAGTGATTCACCATTTGTGCGCAAGACTAGTGGTGCACTCGCACTGGCTTCACGCCGTGGCACTGCGGATCGAAATAAGGTTGCAGCAGCAGTGTTGGGAGAAAAGACGAGGCCGCTCCCGCGCACGTGTGCTTCTCACCCCGTTCCCTTCCTTGAGGAGGGCGCAGGCGAGGACAGACTACTACGGCGCCGAGGCCAATACTGCATTTTCAAAGCGAGTTTACGAATACAAAATGTGGCAGTAGAAGGGGGTCATATTTTATAAAGGTACTTTTACAAGTTCCCATTTAAATCTAAAATTTATATTTGTTTTAAGAAATCCGTTTGTAATATAAACGTTAGTAAAATATTCCATTTTAGCAACTCATTTTGACAAAATGAAGTCTTAAACATCCAATTTTATTCAATATTTGGTAAGGTGGCGTCCGACTAGTTCACGAAGTGAATTGCTGATAACATCGGAATACGAACAGTGAGTTCATTTCTTTAAATTGAGTACTTACGAATGACCGAGGACGAATTTAAATACTGAAGGCGAACGAGATAAGAGAAAAAAATTCTAGAAGACAGCTGCTTTGACTACCATTTCACAGCAAGTTCGTTTATCTCGACGATTTTTTATAGCAGGCCGACAGAAATCCTTAAGTGGGTCAAATGTTCCTGGCGGGCTGTCTATTGAGAAGTCTTGATCAGTGTGTTACGTAAATTCCTATAAAGTTGTTTTTTTTTCGGAAATTTGAATTCTGAAGTCACATTTCCCTTCTAATTTAGAACAGTGAAGAATTTCTCATTGACAATGCCGCGTGACAGAACCTCGGGGCTAATTTGAAAAGTTTATAAATTTGAATCTGAAGGAACTTCGGCGAAACTTAAGCCACCTTCAAAAATTGGTGACACGCATCCAAATTTCTCAAAAAGATTTCCTTGCTACGAATTTTTAGGAAATTTCGAGCACCATTGATTTAAAAGCTAATTTCCTTCAGGTTTTTGACTTATTAAACGTCAGTCAGTCTAGCAGAGAAAGATTTTTGAGCGAATGCACATAAGCTGTGAAGGGGACAAGAACGTCTGTTGTGCTGCCGGATGTCCGCTATTGTTTTGTGATCATAGATGCATGGGAACTTTGTCATGTGCTCAATTGTGAGATATCTCTCACTTTCCCGACAATTTATACAAACGAGGAAACCTCTGTGTTTCTCTCTCACGATGCAACGACACATAACAGGATTTGATAACACAAGAGCTTCATGGTCAAGAATCTACATAAAATCTTGGTAAGTGCAAGAATTATTCTGAAAGTAGTAGGTTAATGTGAATAGGTTTTATTGTATTAAAAATATCGAATGATGAGCTTGATTTGGTTGAAAATATTCAACTGAAATGAATATTAGTGAACACAGGCACTGTCAAATTATATTTGTTGCACATGTATTTAACGTAATAGATCACTAAACCAGCCTTAAAACATGAACATTTCCAACATCGAACACAGATGTTTCCATATCGAACATCGATGATTCCATATCGAACATCGATCATCGTCGTTTCCATTTCGACCATCGATCGTCGACGTTTCCATTTCGAACATCGATCGTCGACGTTTCCATTTCGACCATCGATCGTCGACGTTTCCATTACGAACATCGATCGTCGACGTTTCCATTTCGTACATCGATCATCGACGTTTCCATTTCGAACATCGATCATCGACGTTTCCATTTCGAACATCGATAATCGACGTTTCCATTTCGAACATCGATCATCGACGTTTCCATTTCGAACATCGATCATCGACGTTTCCATTTCGAACATCGATGTTTCCAGTTCGACCTTCGATGATTTCATTTCGACCATCGCCGATTCGAACTGCGCTGGTTTCGGGGGGCACGCACCTGCTTGGCGCGCGCGCGCACGCGTCCGACGGCGTGCGCGGGGGCGCTGTTGGCCGCGGCGTCATCCGCGCGCGCCTCGAGGGGGTCGGCCTGGGCGTGCGACCGCGCGTCCTGCAGCGCCTGGAAGAACTGCTCGTACTGCGCCAGCCGCTGCACCTGCAACCACACACAAGCCCCGCGTTACCTCGCGTCGCTCGCGACCGCGCGCGCGCCCTTCAAGCGCAGCACAGAGTACACATGATAAACAACAGCAAAATGTTCTCAATAATGTGAGTTTCAACCCCTTCTTCACAGAAGACACACATTTAATAAAATATAGCTTTCAGTAATTTTCTATCCTAACGATTGACATTCAGACATTCATTATGATCAGAAGAGATTCAATATGTGAATTGTTAACGTTATAAATATTAAATGTGAGTCTACAAATAAAAATACATTTTATACTCAGTATAAATGAAAAATTCTTGTGAACAAAACTGGCTGATGCACTAGCATTCCACTCCATGCCCTCCCTGAACAAAATATTAGGTGCTCTTCTAGCATTGCTTATTTCATAATCATAGGTAATACCACGAATGTATTAGAAATTGTATAGGTACTTAGTAAGACTAATCTGCGAATGAAATTACGGCCAACAGAATACCAAAGTGCGCCAAATATTGAATATTACTATAAGCTATGTTAAAATCAAAGAGGTTATGTTATAGTACATATAGTCTGTATTAGACATTAATGTATTCCGATCGATTTATTATTCCACCTCTTCATAAAGATAATTCACAGTTTATGATTGGCCAGTAGGAAGAAGCGATAAAAAAGTTGGTAGGAAAAGCGACACACGTTTTGAGACATAGTCCAGATTGGTGCATTTCGTTTGTACAGTTAAAACCTACTGGTCTGAATTTCGCGACTGGAACAGCCATTCACAAACTTGTGTGTTTCAATCCATGGAGATTCACAATACTTAATCAAACAAGGATTTACACTGAACGTTTGTTAGTGCGGTGTGGAGGAGGGGTGGCGTGAAGCGCGGATGAGGAAGACAGGCTTGGGTCTCGGGGCTGGGGAAGGGGCTGGGGTAGG